AAAAAAATCGAATATTAAACATTAACGACCAGTAAACTTAAAAACAAAACCAGGGAGCTTAGAAACACAAAAAAAAAATCAAAAGACCTAAACGATGTTTTCCAAAATCCATTTTGAATTAAAAAAAAGTGTATTATTATTTTTTGAAGTTTATTGTAGTGCTTCGAATTCTGTAAATACAAATTTCTTCTTCGGCTCATTATTTTAACGGAATTGTAAGTCAAGCCCACCAAAGCGACAGAAAGAAAGAGTAGGTACTCTCTTAAAATATAAAAAAGTTATTAGCCAGGTGGGCATCTTTGCATCTTGGACACCAATCCCTATTGGAAAACTATTTGACACACTAGATATTTTAACACGTAAAGGGAGCAAAAAAATTTAACCCATCGATAGAGGGTGGATACAAGAATCCTTTACTCCGAAAAACTTCAGTTATCGACATCGAGGAGGATTTAACAACAAGGGAAAATTTAACCAACCTACATACATAATTTGTCTAAGAGAGAATTGTTGCGACTGGGGGCTACAGTGCCTGCTTGCAGATTAGAGTGAAAACAGTTCTGGAGAAAATAGGCTGTCGGATGATTGCTTATACAGACACGCCACTTATAATCCTTGCTGTTGCAGTTGCCTAGAGGATAATGACGCGAAATCACATAAATACTTTTTTTTAGGTATTTCAGGGTTTCGCGAAGCTCTCGAGATCTCCGTATCTTCACGATTGGCTCTGGACGTTTCATCTATTAGGTGACATTACAAAGGACGACCTCTACAACGCCCAAGGGTGTCCCAAACTATTGACGATAACCTAGCTTAACCTAACGAATTACATCCAGTCTTTCCGGCGAAAGGTTAAAAGTGACGGGTAAATATGTGTGAGAAATCACGAATTTTCTCATTACCGCCGCGGTAAAATTTTATGAAGCTCTGTTACCAGCCGAAGTTTTGCAATAACGAGAAAACTGCTAGTTAAAGAAGGCAGACTTTTGACTCAAATATATTAAGAATAAATCGGCTACATGCTCTCAGGCAACGGAAGTTTAAAGCTTAGTTATTATTGCATTTATACTTCCCATCGTAGACCCTAATCACAGTTGGCATTTATGTAAGCCTTAGTTATCGGGGTTACAATTTATCGAGGCTATATATTCAAAAACTACTTTGTGATGTTAGAACCTATCTGGGGTTATACAAGGTCAGCAGTCTTAGGTGGAATTTTATATAAGAATCTCATTTTTGCGTAAAGTGCAGATAGAGGGTATTGAATATAAGCCCTCGTTATGGTTTACTGACTTAATCAAATCCACCAACTACGTCTAAGGTTTCCCATTTTTGCTAAGTCCATCAGAGCCAAATAAACAGTTGAATAATAGTGTAATTGGCTTCTTAAAGATGGGCTTTTAAATATATAGTATACACATATGTAGCACTCACTATGTTCCTAGTACAACCCAAATAATTTATAAAGGATTGCATATCGCTAGAAAGATTTTTTGAATCTTTAAGTTATTAGAAGATACAAAACATACATATGCACATATAAGTTTGAGTTTTTTTTTTCAAAAACATATATTATGTCATTAAGTTTGCGGTATTGGCTTTCTGGTGTTTAGTCGAGCAATTTAGTTAATAGTATGATGCTGATAAATACAATTATTAAAAGAAACGGTCTAATTTTGCTGCAATCATTAAGTGATGAAACACATTTTACGCCAATCGCCGTCCCCACGCACCCACCCACCACCGGCGTTCACTAACGCAGGCAAACACCATGAAATATGTCCATGCCACTGCTTGGTCCACATATGTACATTTATACATATCGTCGTCTCAGAAAACGGATGTCGAATGTTACAAAACACGGTTTTGAGAAAATTGACTTTGAAGTTTAAGGTCGAATTAATCCGAAACTGTACGGTAGATTTTTGTAACTTTTGAAGGAGTCGTAGTTGGTGTTATTAGTTTTGATTTCCCATATTTTTACATTTAATATCTCTTAACGTTAATGAGAAAATTTACTTTTCATTCCGTGTACACTTTGTCGTAAGTAGCGTTTACTCACCTTTTTGTTTTGTCCACAGAACATACGACAATAGTAAAGTATCTATTTCAACGACGATGGTATAATTTGATGAAAAAAACAGACATATTTATTAAATAATGATTACTTATTAGAAAAAACATAACAAAAACATAATCATGTATTTAATAAAAAAAATATTTACATCTCTTATGCTGTAAATATGTTACGAACATACGTTTTCTTTAAATAAAAACAACAAAACAATACTTAAATTCGGTCTTTTGTACATTTTTATCTCTTTCATTTCATTGGAGACTCAGTGCAAACTAAAATTTAAAAATTTTAAATTTTAAAATTAGTTACTTAGTTTAATTTTCAATTTTAATTGTATCGTTATAGTAAAGGACCATCCAATTGTCGTAAGTTCAAAGTTTTGCGATACATACGACAAATGTTTTATGATTAAAAAAAGATTACATTTGTATGGGAATTTGTCGTATGTGCCACATACGACAAACGTTTTACGATTAAAAAAAAGGTACGTTTGCATGGGAATTTGTCGTATGTGACGCATTTTCAGCACATACAACAAAAGGCATACCCAATCATTAATTTTATGTAACATACGACAAAATGCGCACGAAATATCTCAAAAACTAATGGAGATATAAAAAAATGGATTGCAGAAATCGAAAGAGCATGTCCAACTTAGTAAATCTTCATCAAAATCCCAAAATCGTGATTTTGCACATTCGTCATCCGTTTTCTGAGGCGACGATATGTACATGAAAGTGTAGAAAAGTACTGGGTATGGGGAAACGACGACTTTGATATATACATACATATGTATGTATGTATGCGCTGAAAGCACAATCTATGTTTATTTGAGTTGGCCTGGCGTTTTTGCGATGTGCGCGAGCATTTTGTGTAGCAGTGCGAATTTTTGCTAATGCATTGGAACGCATCCAAATTAAGAATATATAAATACACGATCGCCTCTTACGTCCCAGCGTACACCACTAGGCATACAAAAATACGTATGTACATACGTATATACGTTAGCTTATTCAGTGCAGATGGGCAAGTCGCAACTACATACATATACCGCTGCATGTACATATGTGTGTGTTGATGGTCATTGCATGAATTAAATTAAGCGAAATTAACGGTGTTACTAAGCGATGGTGCCATTCTATTGAAGACTTTAAGCAGATAAATGCATAAATATGTAATACACAGCCAGGTATTTAGATGTGTATCAACGACAGACAGTTACATGCGGGGACACATCTTGAGCTACATATGAACAGCAAATGCGCGGTAGTGGGTGCAAACGGGTACTTCCGTGTTGAAAAATACAATTTTCGAAGGGAAAATTTATTGGCGAAAAATTTGCATTTGCAACGGTAATGCGGTCTGCAAACGTCTTATGTTCATAAAAAAAAAGAAAGCAAAGAACTCATTGAATTTTTTTTTACATATTTGTTCACCTGTGAAATGGCTACCCCGGTCAGTCAAATGTTTCACCAGCAACAAAGTTTATATCTACATAGGTAAACAAATATTTTTGGAAGTGTTTGAGATTTCAAAATATTTTAACAATTTTAATTTGCGGCTGTTGTAAAAGGAGCAGTAGCGACTATCTGACGGTTGGGTAAAATGTTTGAAGTGCAACCCGATTACCTTCAAACTAAAAAGATACATACATCCCAGCAAACATAGTCTCTAACGTTACAGAAGAGAAACGTTTCGATTTTACTTTAGAATTCTAATGTAGTTCTCAAATCGAAAATCAGGTTACAGAACTATGTTAGAATTCGATTAGAGAATGATAAGTCTAAT